AACGTAAGTAGGTACGTAGTACGTACGTACGAAGAATATATAATAATATACTTACTACTATATATATATATATATATATATATATATATATATAGTCGCATGACTAGTTCGTTTGCAAATGAGATATGTTCAAAGGCTCTACTCCCTACAATCTCGGCGTTTGAAATAGCTATCGAGGACTTCATTTGAGTACCCTGTGCTCTATTCTTGTACATACTCAGTTCTATGTATTTTCCTTCCATATGCTTCCTACATGCGCAATCAAAATCCGTGGAGTGTATATTCTTGTCAGCTGTACCTGAATGCAAGCATGGTGCACTGGGCATCAGGCGTGAATGAGTGGCTCATCAACTGGTCTTATGAGATTACATACCACAAGAAATAACCTTCAACCTTCCCCCTGCATACACGGACAAACGCCACATCGGTCCCTTATTTGTCGCATTTATATTAAACATGACCATTAACTGTTATTCGGTCGGAGTTATACTGTGCATTGCTTTTGGGTTGTATACTGCGCCGTCACATCAAACGACGATGACGTCGGCTACCTTTTGAAATGCGAGCGTCTATAGCGTCGTTTTTAAAAGAGAACGTAGGGTATTACGATTGTTGGACATTCTGGATCTGCCTCTTATGTGGCGTGTGCGTATTATGTGGATAGACAAGTTGTCGGCCTAGAGTATTCAATGTCGTATAGAACACGGCCAATGTCGTATATTGCTGAAACTTTTCATATCCAGGCAGAAATGCAGAGTACAAAGGTTCTACAAGATGTCACATCCCAATCGACGTTTCTGTGTATATTGTAATTAAGTAGCCATCAATTTCATTTGAAAATGTCATCCAGTTTGTCATTTTCAACAGAGAATTAATCTTAATTCTTTCAGCATTTCCGATCCACATATTAGCGTGTGCGTATATATCTGTAGACAAAATCGCATCACTCTGCGTCCCTATCACGGACTAGAGCTGCCCCATACTGTTCAATACACATATCTTGTTTTCAGAGGACAGCCGAGTACGACTATTATCGTAAAAGGCATAGAACTTGTAATTTAAACGACATACCAACTATATATAAATATATATAAATAACTTGCCTCTATTTATACAGGATTGCCGAACAGTCAAGTGGGTCCGGTATAGCCTTTGTGGACGCCTGGTTCATGGCGCTGAGTGCTATGACTGTCACTGGGTTGACAACCGTGGATTTCACGGCATTGACAAACTTCTCGATATGGCTCATATGGCTTCTCATCATCCTGGGTGGCCAGGTGTGTTACTGTACAGTATGTCGGATAACACTGAGTGTAGGCTTGCTGCGCATACTTACGAGAATTGGTCTTGATACGGCCCATATGGTTTCTCATTGCTGTATGTGGCCAGGTATGTTGCCGTATATTCCAAATATCACCTAGTGCCGGCCTGCTGAGCATACTTACGGTGAGATATCTCTATCACTGTATGTATCAACTCGATAATCACAAGACGCATTTAGCCATGGTATCCCATTGCCTTAGAAATTATCAATAGTTAAGGGGTTGCTGGGTATGATTCACGAGTGTATGTTTGCGTATCGTTGTGTGCACGACCAGTCGCACATTATCGCGATCGCTATGGTGTCTTATGCAAGAAGAAAAGATTTGTAATTGTACTTATGAAGTTTTTGTAAATGTATTTATGAAATATTTGTATTTATAATTGATAATTGACTGTAACTGTATTTGTACAGTATTTTTAATCGTGGGATATTCGTAGTTGCGGGTTTATTACGTATGACAACGAATATGGAATCCTATACTCCGGTGTGGGCGACCTGTGGCGAATTGATTTAATTACGGTGTCTCATTGTAGAAGACAGTGTTCGCAGTTGCAATCTTAACCTTACCGAGCAAAATCACGAGTTGATATATATATATATATATATATATATATATATATATATATATATATATATATATATATATATATATATATATATATATATATATATATATATATATATATATATATATATATATA